GGGCTCCTCAGCTACAGCAAACTCCTGAAGCTCTCAGCTTGCCTTTACAAGCGAAGCCGGCCCTCAGTGAACGTTTGCAGAATGAGTGAATGATTACCGGAGAGGTGAGGGCAGCCTCACAGACAGTAGCAGTATTCTACCGTAACAAATACTCCCACATCCATTTCTACTGGTCCAGCGTAGCATTACTTACTTTCAGTTAGGCTGCTTTTAGGGTAAGGAAATACAGAAAAAGGTGGGAGAAGGTCTTGAGATGACATGAGCTTAACAGTCTCTTTGTGCTTCCACATTATCTAAGGGATTACAAAGGCAAGGTGGAGGGCTGTCTCAGGGAATGATATAGCCTCAGTGCGCTGGATGTTTACAGGAAAGGAAATCAAGAATAAACAAGGTTTTAAAAAGCAAACAAACATTACAGATGCAACACTAGTATCAGTGATTATTCTGTGCCAGCCAGGAAATGACTGCTCTCATCAGGCCCACTTGGTTGTCAACCAGAAACCCAGGGCTACCATCCTTAGTAGGTGAACTTTAACCCCAAAACCTACGTGCTCATTATGCCAGACATCATTGGGAAAAGGAAAAACAAAACAAAACACCGGGTCCCTAACTCTACCAAAGGACTGCATTGACCCAAGTATTAACTTTCTCATAAGATACTTCACACCACAACAAACACCTCCAAACTTCTGTGCAAAATATTCTTTCCTGTGGCTTAAACGTTGCACCTAGTAGTCAGGGATGAAGTTTTCATTGTTTGCCAAGTAGAGAAACATCATGGCCCAAAGACGCCTAGGCGATGCCGTAACATGTCCTGCTTTCCTTCCCATTTAAACCTGAAATAAGAACTAAACTCCACAGACATACAGTTTATAGATACCGAAAGTTTATTTCTAGATCCCATAGAAAATTAATGGAGCTTGCAGAGATTTTGTTTTGTTTTTTTTTCTTAAGACACTATACATAAACAGAAAACCCATTCCTGGAGGACTCAAAAATAAAAATATTTACCACTGTGAAAATTAAACTAGATCCTATTAATGCTGAACTGTTTATAGCCCCTCCCAAAACGTATTGTTAAAACACTTTGTGTAGACAAACTGTGATTCTGAGACTGTTCAGAGCTTCTGGTAGGAGATTTCAAATGAGATTTACCTATTAAAGAAAGACGAGAGGGTCAAGGTAGACGGACGTTCAATTCCTGGTACTGACGATCCCACATTTGGCGCATCTTTTTCAGGAGATAAAGGTGATACAGGAAAACTAGCAGTGACTAAACACGGGTTGGGCTGTCAGTGCGCCGTTGGAAGCAGTAACAATATTGACGGCAGTCCCAGCACAGCAGAGGAGAGGGATGTTGCTCTGGGAAACGGGACACCTGCACGGTGAAACGAGGACACCTAGCGAACTGGTGAGTCCAGGGTTGAGTACGGTGGGCAATAGGCTCATGTTAGATGGGTTTCACGAAGCACTAGTGTAACTTTCACAAGGCTGAGTGTGTTGTCTTCAATATTGCCAGGGTCTAAAATTCCAGCTACCCTCGACATAAGTTGCCTTCAGACTTGCAAGTTATCTGCTAATGCTCAAATCAGCAGCAAGATAAAGCTTAAGTAACCCACTGGAAACATTTCCCAAGAGGTATTCATGGAAACGAAAGTGGGGGAAGGCAGTGTAGAATTCATAGTTATGCACGTAATAATATGTGTTCTGGTGACTTCACACACAGCAATACTGAAAAGGGAGATTATAAATGGATCTGTGCACCAAGAGTTCAGGAAGAACTTGAAGAGTCCATGACTTAAAAAAAAAGTTAAATGTAAAAGTATATAAACTTAGCATGCTGTATTTCATGGCAAAGTGACACGCTATTCAGAGAGAATTTGAACCACGACTCCCTAGACGTTTAAAAAAAAACAAAAAACCAAAAAAAACCCAAACAGAAAAAAGCCCAAAATTCCAGAACACCTCCTAAAAGCTTGAAAAATATATATATCTTGCTTATCTGTGAATTTCTGTACGGTTCCCTTTTTTTTCCCAACAAGAAATGCAATTTGCACTGATAATGCCAGACGGAACGTGCTCCATCCTGCTTGTGAGCTCTGGGTAATAGATTAAATCTTCAGCACAGAAAAGAAATGACTGCGTTCCCTAAGGGGCAGTCACAACTAAGACTGACAGGCAGGGCCAGAAGTGCGCGTGTAACACTCAGTCACACGTCGCTCTAACATACTGTCACTGACAGTTGGCATTAGGAAACTTCTTTCCTCTCCAAGTCATGAGACGAGGAGACACGGGCATGCACACACCGGCGGCACGGTGCTTTCAACTTCTAACCCAGAAAAAAACACCACCAGAGAAAGAAAATGGCACAGGCTCGCGCGTCCGGTTCAGAATCCATTTCTTTTTTCTAGGCATCTTTTGAAGGTATTACCTGCTCTACTACATTTCAAAATCCCAATGGCCGTAGCTCGCAAATTTAGAAGGAAAAAAAAAATGAACTACTAGTGACTGGCTTTCTGGCTATCCAACCTGCCACCTCTTTAGGACGTATCCCAAGGGTCAAGACACCCATGGTGCACACATCTTTGCAGATAGGAAGCTGGTGAAAGGCTTCACTTCTACCTCTAAAAACGTCTATCTGTGGCAGTAGGAGAAACGACAGCCACCCACAGGCCACCTTCTTCTTCAACCCTTTCACTGACGCACCCTCCTAGACTAGCTGAGTATATACCTGAGAAACAGTAGTGTTAAAATATTGCCCTTTACAAAAACTGGTAGATGGGGCCAAAGTGCAGAGAGCGACAGTTTTCCCTCGGTTTGTTTGACTGTTAGTGT